TCATGAAACTTTTGACAATAAAATGAAAAAAATGAGAATTGTTATGACTTGCAAATAAAGTTTTGCGACACCAACTTTAAAAATATTGCTTCAATATCTTTAAAGGAATATATAAAAGAGAAACCACCCACCTTGGCACAATAAAAGACATGCTGCCCACTTGGGATCATATTTTAGTTGATAAAAAATACGTAAATTTGATGGTAGGATAATATGGAATTGATGACACAAAATTTGGAAAACATTAAAAAACATACTTGTGTGGACGAAGTTAACTCCAAAAGAACATTCAAAATTGTCAAAAATTGACTTTTAAACATGGTAAAAGGAAAGAAAACATATATACCTTTGAAAAACAAAAATATTTATTTACAAAAGCTAAAGTTATCATCATTAATGGATAATTTTTTTTATATCCTATAATAGGACAAATATTTTTTCAATAATAACCAAATTAACCTTTAGGCCTCGTAGATGTAGAACTCTTTTAGAGCTAAAGAGGTTTATCTTTATCATAACAAAAAGAACATTCATGGTTACTTAAAAACTTTAAAATGATAAAATTACTTCAATAACATTACTACTTTAAAAATAAGTTATGTTATTCTAACTCTTTTCACCTATAGAGTATACTTAATGATAAATACCTCCTATTTAGCTAATAAATGATTAAATGAAAAATTTTACTTAAAGTGGAAGAAGAAGCTTAACAATAAAGAAAACTAAATATGATAACAGAGACAAATAATATATATTAAGATTTTTTGTCAAGACAAAAAGCATGACTAAAAATAAGGAAACTTTTAAAGTTTTTTATATTTTCTTTGTTTGAAGAATGAATTTGAGGAAATGAAAAATGAAAGAAAAAAATAGAAATAATGAAGAATGAAGTTGTTTGAATTAAGAAAAAAATATAAAAGAATTGAGAGAAAAGTTTATATTTGATTCAATTGATTTCACACAATAAAAAAAATTAATTAATTAAGATGATAAATTACTCAATAAAAATAAATTAAAATTAAAATTAAAATTGTTAAATATGAAATAATTATTTTATAAAATTGAGAACAATATTAAAAAGTAAATTTTGCATTATTCAAATAATTTATTACTCATCATGTACAGTTTTTTTTATATATATAACAAGTGGAAAATATAATTATTTAAAAATTAAATCATGCTTTAAAAATATAATTTCCTCACTATGCATTTGATTATTGATTTAAATATATATATATATATATATATATATATATATATATACACACACACATATATATATATATATATATATATATATATATATATATATATAATTGATGTCATAAAATTGGTTTCATTCAGTTTAATGGTCTTTTAACTAATTTTATATAAACAAAACTATAGTTTAAAAATAAATTATTTTAACAGTTTGTTTAATATTTATCCAAACGAATTTTTTATACAATGTTTAAAATGTTATCAAAATGAAGAAGAGCATAATATTCTAAACCATTTAATATTCCAAACCGACATCCATTCAATTATCTATCTCCATGCATTTTTTTTACCAATAAAACAATGAAGTATCACATAAAATATTTATTAACGCTTTGTTTGTTTTTAATTATATTATTTATACAGATGAAAGAGTGATTTATGTGTTTGCTTTAAATTAATAGGGTAGACTTAAGAGTGTAAATTTGAGAGAGGGAGGAAATGAAGATCCTAGAGATCGAACAAAAAATACAGCTCAACTTTATATATATCTACTAAATAAATATCTCTAATAAAGAATCGATTTTCAGCACCAAATAATCGATTCACTGCAGAAAATATAGTAAACCTAACAATTGTGAACATGAGCATTTCAACAACGTTATAATGTTGTATGCATTGGTATCATAACAATATACACGAACAACATATAATATATATAAAAAAAATGACAATTTACACGTATCAGAGTCGTTTGTATGAACATAATCAATGTATCATAACATGAGCCAAAGAAAAACAAATTTTCACAGAAATGGCATATTAGAGATACAGGAAAAAGAGATAGAGCAACGAAACTGGTGAGAATGTGTCCACTGATAAAACAATAGTTTTAGGATGGAAAAGGTTTTGAATTGAAAATGAGAAGCGAAAAGACGTGTGTTGGAAGAGTTAGTGGTGTGGTGGAGAGCATCGAGGGAAGAGATGGACGATTGGGCAGCGTTGCAAAAGAAGGAATATGAGTAAGGGTCGCGTAGGATGGACGCAGAACAACAAAATGGAGGGGCCCAATTCCAAGTAAGACCCATTCTTTCTTTCCTCGTCGATGCTTTACAGGAAATGTCCAATTTTCCCTCGCCAAAATGTAACTTGTAAATTCTCAACCACCACCGATTATTATTATTATTATCCTTACAAAATTATTGAGTTAAATAAAAATAATTATATTTATTTGTATATTATAATATTATATTTTTAATAAATATGAGATTTTAATTTTTTGTAGAGAAAATTTTTCGGCACAATGCGTCAACCTTCATCAAATATCCTCTCCCACAATCCTTGAATTGAAGCCAGCGCTTAGTGGCGCATAGCATAAATGCAGGTAACGTGCTTCGCCGCGATTCTAGCCATTCACCTTTTAGCTTTCCTTTACGATTATCTACTTTACACCACCCTTGAAACACACACGAGTGAAATCCTAAATTAAACGTAACTTCGTCTAGTAATTTAACCTGACTTCATTCATCGAATTAAGTGCAAAATAAGTATTTTTTGTAAAAAAAATTTCAAGAGCATTAACTAACGTATACACAATAAGACTAAATTACTATTTTTAAATATTTAATAAATAAGTTGGTGTCTTAAATTTTCTTTTAATCTCTAAAAATGGATACATTTTTATTTTACTTTTGAAAAATAATCTTTATGTTTATCTCTAAAATTAAAAAATCATTATTACTATATAATATTATCATATTATGACATAGATTAGTTATTTATTTGTTAAGTATGTTAGACTTCAAAATTAATTCAAATTCGTAATTGTGTTCAAATAAAATCGTCCTTATATAACCTAAAAGCATAATCGTCTGCAACCATAGCTACAAAGGACATTAACAGTGTTTTTTCGACTAAACATGCGATTAAAAAATAAAATTTATCTTAGAATTTTGTAAAATTGATTTATATTTATATTTATCTTTTAATATAGTATTAAAGTTTAATTTAATAATATTTATGAAAATTATTGTATCATGTCACGCTCCCATCATTCATATATTAAATGTGAAAATAATGATTTGAGAAGTTTATTAAAAAAAGAATTAATTATGGTATAAACTTGATTATATAAATTAATTTTGTAAAATCAAGTTAAAAGATTATAATATTACACTAATATGCTATAAGATTTAGAAAATGTATTTAACTATTTATTTTGTTGAGTTTTCAATTAATACCATTAAAGAATACAATTAAAATAATAAAAAAATATTTTTAACTAATGACTTGGATAATCTCACCTACTACTACCAATTTTAAATATAAAAAAGTGTCATTTGTGTTTATTTATATAAAGGTTAACTCTTATATGGTTAATAAAAAATCGCGTATTCATAATATATCTCAAATAAAAAAATAATTAAAAATAAAAAAATCTCATTTCTTTTGAAAGATATTATGATACGAACAGAAAGAGGAAGCTGAGCCGAAAAGCAGAAGCGAGCCAAGCCAAGTGAAAATTGGAAAACAACGTTAGTAGTGATTTTAAACACGTAATTGTACTAACTGCATAGGTGGCACTGTTGAGAATTGAGATTTTTCCACTAATCACAATAATAGCATTTGCAATTTCACTTTCGGAGACGCTCTTCCGCGTGCCACAATATAAATTCAATTTCTGCCATCACCAATTTTACTTCATCGTTTCTCTTCCATTCCTTCATTCCCCAACCCTTCTTCTTCTTCTTCTTCCACCTCAAAACCTATTCCTACATCTCCTCCTTCTGCATCGCTCTCAACTTTGTTTTCCAGTTTTGCCCCTCTTTCCAGAGAGAAAAAAATGGTTAGTTATCCTTCTCTATACTCCTTTCTCTTTTTTATTATCTCATTTTGAAGCCTATGGATAGGAGAGAACTTAACTGAACTGAACTTCTGAACGATTTGAAGTTTAATCCGAAAATCGAATAATTATGCCAATATTTGTCTCTCTCTGCGATTTTAAACGATTTTCGGCGCTTACTGATTCTTTGTTTTTTTGAGCTGGATTCGTGGTCGATCTGATCGTCAACATTGAACACAGTAGAATCGAAGTTTTAATCATGCGTTTTGTGTTTCGCTAACTGTTTGTTCGCATGTTCGGTGATAGATCTGATTGTGATGTGGATTTCAGCGTTCAATCTGGAATTGCATTGTTGTGTAGCGATTAGCTTTTCTGCTTGCTTGATCCTGTAGGGATGATTGTAATTTTAGGGCACGGTTTGTTTTTTCTTTGGAACATTTTCTGTTAGGTTTTCTGCTCTAAATTCCTTGGATCCATTGCGTTGCTCATTTTCCTGTTTTTCCTTGCCTACGATATCTTTTAATTTTTTTTTTTTTTTTTTTGCACAATCGCTTGGGCTTGCTGCTTCAAATAGATTTGTAGACTTCCGATTTTTGTGTAACTCAATAGTATCTGTCAATGGCATTTTTGAATAAACTTCTTCCTAGAAGAAAATAAGAAGAAACAAAGTTTTATTGTTGAAAATAAACTTTTGTAGAAGTGATCTCATTTTAGCTATTCCAGAAGATGATTTTTGACTTGCAAGCTAATTTTAGTCTAAAGAAGATTTTTTTTTTCCCTCTTTTTTTTTTGTCTTGAAGAAGTCCTTATTGAGCAACTTATCCAAGCAGACTTAAGTGTTAATGATCCCATGTAGAGGAATTAAACTTTGTTGTTGATGTTGCAATCACATTGAATGAGCCTGTGGATCTTCTTGTTTGTACATTGTAGGCATTGCTAGTGTGAAAGAAGGTATTCTCATATGTTAATTGCCAATTACTTGTTGACGTGTGGAATTTTACAGGCCAACGCAGCATCAGGTATGGCTGTCCACGATGACTGCAAGTTAAAGTTTTTGGAGCTCAAGGCGAAGAGGACATATCGTTATATCATTTATAAGATCGAGGAGAAGCAGAAGCAAGTTGTTGTGGAGAAGCTGGGTGAGCCAGCAAATGGTTATGAAGATTTCACTGCCAGTCTTCCAGCTGATGAGTGTCGATATGCTGTTTATGATTTTGATTTTGTCACCGAAGAGAATTGCCAGAAGAGCAGAATTTTCTTCATTGCTTGGTAATGTCAGCAACTTTTAAGCTCTTAAAACAAATAAAACAACCATAACTTTTAGATTTGAAAACTCCAGCTAACTTTTTACAAATAGCTAATATTTTTAATCAATATTAATTTTGTTGCTTTTGTCTGAAGGTCCCCTGATACATCTAGGGTTAGGAGCAAGATGATTTATGCCAGCTCCAAAGATAGATTCAAGAGGGAGCTTGATGGGATTCAGGTTGAGCTGCAGGCAACTGATCCTACTGAGATGGGTCTTGATGTGTTCAAAAGCCGGGTCAATTAAACAAATCTGTTTATGCATTGTGTGATGGGGTCTCTCTTCAGCCGAAGTTCCTCATATGGAAATGTCTATAGTTTGTGGGATGGTCAACTTGGCTAATTTGGACTCAATTTTCCAAGTTTTGACATGAAGTCTATTGCAACTTCAACAAGCTTCTCTTGTTCCAGTGTATCTTGTGGTTTGTGACATACAACCCGTGTTTGGGTGTCATCTTAATCCTATGCCTATTAGTTAATATTGTGACTGTTTTTTGTGTGATTGGACAAAAATTTGGGATCGGCTATTGATGTAATATTGACACTTGCCATCTTACCATCTTACTAATGTCTTGTGACTCGAATTAACTAAACTTCTCCATAACAAGATTGAGAGGATACATATATAATTTCACTGGCATTAACACAATAGTTAGTTTTACAAAAATGATGATTTATAAAATTTAATTATACCTATAATATAGACTAAACACAATTTGTGGTTGTCCTTCACGCGTCTTTCTAGGAATTCCAAGTATTTAGGGTGATTAAGCATCTTCACTTTAGATAGAACTATTTGCTACCTTTGTACCCTGAAGAATTTTGTTTATATGTCTAAAAGTATGTAATTACATGAGTTCGTGATCAAATATACATTAGAAGCACCAATCACCATCTACAATGTACCATCATGCGTGACGAAACTAGCACCCGAGATTCTCGTAATGAACAAACACAAGTCATCTTCAAGAAAACATCTCTTACTGATAAAAGGAAAGGGGGACAATTACATATCCTTCATCTGCTTTGTTAGGACCCAAACAAAACCATAATAAGAAAGAAAACACTGAGCTTAAACATACAGAGTTCGAAAATAACCCCTAGTACGATATGAACAAAAGACTATAACTATGAAGTCGTAGAGTGGAGTTCATAAGACCAGTTCTCTTTTTATTTTTGGGAACTTATATGGACTAAAATCTATGCCGTGTTCTTTCTTACTTAAGGACTTCATATACAAAGATGACTGACATTTCATTTATCTGAAGCTAAGCGTAAAGTGGTGATAAATTTGTGACCCACAAGTTATTGGGCTAGGAAGATTAGTGCCTATTAGTTACTGGTGGACTCAATTAAATTAACGGTTGATATATTTTTGACAGCTTTCATCAAATTTAGTTTTCATCTTATACTTTAAAAAATAATTAATTAATCCTTTTTTATCTGTATTTTAAAAAATAATTAATTAATCTTTAAACTTAAAAAAATGTAAATTTGATTCTTTTATTATTTTTACTATAATAAAAATAGCTATTAAATATTAGAATGATATAAAAAATTTAAATTCTGTTAATTTTATGTCAGTAAAAAATAGTCATTAAATATTAAATTTAAATATAAAAATATCAAAACTCTATATTGTAAAAAGTTAAAAAATCAGAGACAAGTTTAATAAAAAAAACACAGGGACACGGAAGATATTTTTCTTATTAAATTATTCAATAAAATCAATTGTTGTTATAATTAATTATAATTACCATTTTATAAATGTTAAAAAATGATTTAAAAAAATAATATTATATCAATGTCGCAACAAAAATCATTTTTACGTAAAAAAAAGAATATGTCGAAAGTTGGAAGAGAAAGAAAAAAAAAACTATTGAAAAATAATTATAGATTACAAATTTTCAAATTTATGAAAAAAAAAAGATTTTTTAGAGGTCTGGGAGTTTGTGAAGCTGCAACAAGCTGCTCACGCCAAGGGACACTGAGACGCTCTCATTTTGCCTCAACATGCCTCATTAGAAGCTCTCATCTTCATAAAAAAAAAATATCTCATTTTATTTTTCAAGATTCAATTTTTATTTAATATTTTATGGGTATCAAAATGTAGTGGATCTTGTGCATTTTTTCTTTTTGTCTGCTGAAGTTATTTTTCTCCATTCTTCTATGACGGTTTTAATTTAAAATAATAATAATAATAATAATAATAGTAATAATAATAATAATAATAATAATAATAGTAATAATAATACTTTTTTATTTATTTATAAGAACCAGTTTATATAAGCAAGGTGCTTAATTTTAAGCAATTTTGTTTGCCTTGTCAGCACTCTTCAATGACAATTTCTTGTAAGATTCACGACACATAAACTGAAGAATGAGTGCGAATGACAATTACAAGAGAAAAAAAAGTATCAAAGAAACATTTATTAATGTATTATGAGCACATAAGCGAAATGAAATCATGTTTGAACTTAATCTACTTTGAAGTCTGAAGCATATTATCCTACTTGCCACTTATCAGCATACCTAATCTAAGTCAAATGAAAACATCTCAATTCTCATCCCGGCATTAAAATAATTAAAATTAAGAAGTGAGCAAACTTTTTATGCTATAAATCCATTAAGAAATATTCATATGAATGCTAGCTACAAGTTACACGTTCACATTTTCCCCTTGAAACTGGAAAATATGTGAGGCTGGAGAAGTTATCATCAATGAAGCTACACAGATGAAACCAACACTAGTGCTAAAATGTACTGACTAAAAGTCTGTAATATAACTCCGAGTCCTGGGTTTTGGATTACTTCATATGTTTCAGCACCTTTACAATAAGGTGCTTTCCCTTCCCATTACATTCTTTCAAGCATCACCAGAGTCCACTTACAGCAAAGCCTTTCAGTACTTAAAATCTTCTGGGCTTTCTCCTATCCAAAATAGCACCAAGATTGGCTAATGCATCGTCAAATTTCCGAATCTTGAGAAAGCCCTTGATAATAGATGTTTCGGACTGTGAGAATCCTCCTTTATCCATCACCATATTGATGAGTTCAACAAGGGTGACCTCCATTGATAAAGAACAAAGACCTTCAGCCAAGAAACCAAATGATGGGAAATCTGGCAATATTCCTTTCTCCAACATCTCAATCGTAAAATCAACAGCCTCTTGTATAGGCCCTCCACCATTACAGAGGCCACGGAAAACAATCTTGTATGATATAGCATCCGGGGGATTACCTTTTTCCATCATTTCTCTGAAAAGTCTCATGGCTTCGTTTATTCTCTTCCTTTTGCAGAGTGCTTGAATCACAGGGTTATAAGCATGTGGAGTCAAGACCAAACCTTTCATCTGAACAGATCTAAGGAGCTTACTTGCAACCTCTACTCTCCCTGCTTTACAAAGCCCCATAATAAGGGTCCCATAGGTTACAATATCCGGTTCGCACCCATTCGAAGTCATATTCTGCACAATATCAGCTGCCTTCTTTATATCCCCTTGTTGGCAGAAGTACTTAAGCATTGAAGTATAAGTGAACTTGTCAGGCTTTAACCCTTCCATTATCATCTGATCCATAAGCTGAGCAGCTTCTTCCACTCGCTTGCTCATACACAGGCCATTAATAAGGGTGTTATACGTCACCGAACTTCTCGACACCCCCATCATCTCCATCTGATCAAAAATCTCCTCTGCCTCGTCAACCCTATTGCTCTTGCACAAACCATCAATCAAAGTATTATACACCACCACATTCCTAGCACAACCACTTTTCTCCATCTCTTTCAGCAGCATCAACGCTTCCTTTAGTCTCTTTTCAGAACCCAGACTCTCAATCAATATACTATACGTAAACTCATCCGGCTCACACCCTTTCTCCTTCATCTCCTCAAACAACTCCATTGCAATCTCCCGGTTACTCGTCAAACACAAACCCTGTATCAAACTATTGAACGTACAAACATCAGGCAAAAACCCCTTGCTAGTAAGATTACGGGCAAGCTCGGTCGCCGCTTCAACATGATTCTCCTTACACAAAGTACTAATCAGTGTGTTAAAAGTCACAGTATTCGGTGAACAATCCCTCGAAATCATGTGGTTGAGAATTTCAACAGCCTCATCAATCTCACCCAACTTACACAACCCAGAGATCAAAGAGTTATAAGTATAAACATCCAAATCAAACCCTTTCTCAAGCATAAAATCCATCATCTCCAATCCCTGTTTGATATGCCCTGTTCTACACAACCCACTCACCAAAGCATTGAACGTAAACTGGTCAGGGGAAAACCCTTCTTCATTATAAATAAACCTCAAAGCTTCTTCAATTCTACCCTCTCTGCAAAGCCCATTCACCAAAACATTCACCGAAACACTCGTTAGCGCGCACCCGGACTCCACCATGAGTTCCTTAATCCTCAACGCGCCGTCCACGTCACCCTCTTCGATAAACCCCTGCATGAGCGTGGTAAACGTTTTCTCGTCGGGCCTGAGGTCGTAGTTAGGCATGTCCTCGAGCATGAGAATGGCGGGCCGCAGCTGGTGGGCCTTGCAGAGGGCCCGAATCAAAACGTTGAAGGTGGAAACATCGGGCGCGACGCCGTCAGCGACCATCTTAGAGTGCAGCGTTTCTACGAGCTTGAGCTTGTTGGCTTTGACGAGGAGGTTGAGGGCGACGTTGTAGAAGCGCGTGTCCGGTTTGAGGGCGAAGTCGCGTTCCATGCAGTCGATGACGGCGTTGATTTCGCCGTGAAGTTCGAAGTTAGCGTAGGCTTCGAGGAAGATGAGGAAGGTGGACTCATCGACGGGGCAGGCGGAGGAGCGCATCTGGTGGAGGAGGGATAGCATTGAGTCGACGGAGCCGACTCGGGCGAGTTGGCGGAGAAGCTCGTGGAAGATTGAGGGCTGGGCCGAGTAATTGGGCTGGGTGGAGGCCCATTGAAAGAGGCGGAGCGCGGAGGATTCGTCGGGCTGGCGGCGGATGAGGTCGAGGAGTTGGGAGGGGGAGAAGTCCGGGGGGAGAGGGTGGTGAGTTGTGGAAGTGGAAGACGAGAGCGCGGAGGAAAATTTGAAGGTGGAAGAGAGAGAGATAGAGAAAGGGAAAGGTGTTGTGTGGCGTTGGGTTGTTACTGTGTAAGGAAGGGGGTGGCAGTGGAAACAGGATAGTGCCATTGAGACAATTTTACAAACATGTGGTGTGCGTGAAGAAGAAGAAGAAGAAGAAGAAGAAGAAGCAGAAACGGGTGAGCGGTGCAGAGAGTGTGGATGACTTGGGAAGAGAATTTTCGATTTGGTAGTAAATCGGTGACCCTGGTCTTGGATGAGGACCCAAACAAAATCTGTTTTGGGGTGCGAGGCTACGTTAATGGTGGATAGAAATTCTATTTGTTTGGATATTTTTGGGGATGTAGGAGATTTAGCTTTATTTCGTGTTTTAAAATTGGAAAAAATATGACCAAAAAATATTAATATGTTGTACTATTTAACAAATATTCGGAACTAAATAACAATGCAACATAAAAGTAAGATAATCTAAATAGAGGTAATAAAATAAATAAATTTATTTAATTATGTTTTCAATATTTGATATCTTGGTCTTTTTTTTTCTCAAATTAAAAAATAAAAATTGAAAACTAGTTAAATATAATTTTAAAATTTGACCAAAAGTCATATCATTTATGATTTACGTCATACAAATTCCGTAGGAAAAGGGTAAAATCGGATCAGGTGACCTGTTATGCTAATCTATTTAAAAAAAATTTATATTAAAATAAAAATAAAAAATTATAATGAAAAATATTATATTTTTTATATTATTAAATAAATAAATATATTATAATGTTATAATTTAAATTGTAAATATTAATTAATTAATTTAAATTATAAATTATAATTAAATATTTTAATATATAAATATACACTGTTGATGAAACAGTATATCATCATGCAGGCGTGGGAGGAATTGGTGGTCTTCAACCACCCTCAAAGGCGTATAAGATTTGATTTGATGTCATGAAGTAGCTCTTACTTTCCAGCTTAACAATCTAAACCTAATCTACAACATGTGTCTCTGATTCTACACCTCACAGCAACCAACCCACATCTCATTCGCCCATCAACCCTCACCCACAACTCCAACCACCCCACATCTCAAAACTTTCTGTGTCTCCAAATACTCACAAACAAATCCCACTCTACCTCCATCCACGACAATGTTTTTGTGGCTCTCTAATTTCATCCGTGCGTGGCCTCTGCTAATGTATGCTGTCATTTGGGTCGCGGCAATGACGTTTACGGTGGCAGTGGCTTCGCTCTCCACAGAGGTGGCTTTTGTCTCCGCCATATCTTCGTCTCACAGGTGCACAAGTAACGGTGGGTCTTCTGTTAGAGTTAGAGTTCCGTTGGAGGAGACACCGTGTTTCCCTGCTCATCTTTTCACCAAGTCCAGCATCGATGTGGTCGTTCCACCAATCTTTGCAGCGCTGATTGTAGCAGCTTCTGCTTGCGTAGTAAGAGCTGTGGGCCTGTGGGAGCGGGAAACCACGGACTCTCCTATTTCCACCGAATTCTCCCTTCAGCTAATGTGATGGGATAAAAAATCCCATCATGGGGTCTAATGAAAAATCATTCTCAGATAAGATAACATTTACGATCCTTGCATTTTTAAGCTGATTTCGTAAGATGGAAGGACATATTTCACTGTTTCTAATACTTTCTCGATCCAAAATTATTGATGAGAAACGTGTCTCTTCTACAATTACATTGTTGAAAAGTTAAATTAAGTTGAAAATGAATACTTCTTTTATTAACCCAAGCGATACAATAATTTTATATAATAAGATTAATAACAAAGTTAACACTCCCACGTGTCCAACTTATTAATAAAGTTGAACGTAAGGTTTTGTGATAGCATTTGCTAATTTAGGTTGAGAATATAGGTAAGTGATAAATTAAATCAACCATCATTTTCTCTTTGTGGATATTTGAATATTTCTATGTCTGTGACAAATTTAATTATAATCTAAATGATGCATTATCATATATATATATATATATATATATATATATATATATATATATATATTATTGACTTTATATTGAAGGTCTTAAAATATATAATTTATACATTATTATGTCAAGTATTATATTCAAAAGGTGTTAAAAAAATGTAATTTATTTTATATTTAAGATGATTTAAATAATATGATATGTCATTTAAAGCAAATAATCTTATAAATTAAATTCATAATAGATAAAGACATCTTTAGTTATATCATTTCTTCACCATTTATATTAGTAATGTCTAAATCATGATGTAATATCATCAAAATTTAAATTATTTACATCTACTATAGTTTTTCATTTTCCTTAAGCTCATGTTTCATAATCCACTCATCATATATAATCATCAAACAAAAAAAGAAAAGAAAAATATGATAAGTAAGTAGAGTAATAATTATATTCTATAAATATATTTTAATTTATACTAACTTACAATTTCAGAGTAGTTTTAATTAAGCTCGCATTTGGATGAGTACATGTCAAACTCAATATATTCATGTCAAGTTTTTGAAGTTTTGGATACTCGTCACCACGGTAATATTCTCACCAATTTATTGGAGTCTTTAAACTAATTAATCTATAGCTCAAAGACAACCATAATAATTAGCTCAATTTTTAAAATTATCAATAGAAAACTCATCATTCACTATCTTGTTAAACATTCCATTAGGTCTTTTCACTTCTAAACGAACTTTAATCCAAGACAATAATGTTTTTGGAGATTAAGAAAATAGGCGTCAACATGGGAAGCCTTGTGATATTGTTTGTCCCATTTTTTATTAGTTTCCTATTTGCAGTTTCAAAATCACTAAGTTAATAAATATATAAATAGTACATTTTTTTACTCCATTAAAAGTATTTTGTATCTTCTCCTTAACTTGTTACCTTACTTCATGAATGAACCTCATGGTTGGTTTTTGACCAAAGTAGTAAAGAGTAATACACCACTTCACTAAATTTCTTCATTTTGTGAAATGTTACGGTAGAGAAATTAGAGAATTTCTTGAATAAATAAAGGTTGTTGTAATTATCTTATATTTTGAAATTGTCTTCTCATGCATTTGTTACGTGATTATGAGTCATGAAGAATCATAAAGAGAAATTGCAACAAGAGACTTGACTAAACTTCAAGAAAGGAAAAGAAGAGTACGGGAAAATTAAGAAAATTTCTAGAGTCTTAAATAGAAGTAAATTTTGGAGTTGTCTTCTCATAAATTGGTGATATGATTATGAGCCAGGAAGAAGTGTGTGTCTTGCTTGTTTAATAAATAAAAATTTACTTTGATTAATACATAGATGCAAGACATATATAGTGGTGATAATTTTGGAAAATTTTATTATATTTATGAAAAGAAAATAAAAAACTCTTCCTCACTCACTCTTTCAAAATACTTTTCTCTCTCAAGCACTCACTTTTTCTTCCTAATGAATTTAAAAGTGTGAGATCAATTGTGTCATAACAAAAAGATAAGTCTAGAACATTTAATTGTTAACAATTTTATACTAAAATTTTGTGTGTAAGGATGGAAAAGAGATGACAGTTATAATGATTGTAACAAAAATTATATAATTGATGGGAAAAAATATTAAATTTTTCACCCAAGCATTAATTGAAAAATGTATGAAAAACAAAGTTGAAAATGCAGCTCAAATGATTATAGATATGTAAGGAAAATTAAAGTAATATATATATATATATATATATATATATATATATATATATATATATATATATATATATATCAATTAGATAGTGTTCTCTAATTGTGGGTAAATTTAATTATACATAGTATATCCTTCAAATGTGATGACTATCTAGAATTTAGGGATATGTTGTTTGAATCCTCATGTAACTTTAGTTTTTTATAATCCTACAAAGAGTGATACATTAAATATAAAAGAAAAAAATAGTCAAAAGAATAGTTGACTATCATTTATTGTCAAATTTGTTTAACTTATGATTTATAGATATATTGTACCCTAAAAGTTATAAGTTTGAGAACTAATTATGTTAATTTAAATGGAAAGTTAAGTAGTAAGATTCTTAAATTTGATTGGATTTAAGTTATTTAAGAATATAAATTAATTTTTACATGATTGGAAATAAAGAAAAAAATATTGTTTATTTTAGATAATGTTTATTGTTAAGGTTCCAACATAAAACCAATTGGCAATATGTGGAATAGCCTAATATGTATTTAAACCATACCAAATGACATGAGGTAGGCGATGTGGGACTTTCAACACACCCCCTTCAACGAAGCCAATTGACAATATGTGGAATAACCTAACATGTATTTAAACCATATCAAATGACATGAGGTAGGCGATGTGAGACTTTCAACACACCCCCTCCAACGAATATCAAATGACATGAGGTAGGCGATGTGAGACTTTCAACACACCTCCTCCAACGAAGCCTGTCGGACCAGACAAATGGTACTTTTGACCCAACTAAATGGTAACTTTTGGCCCATGACAATAACCGGAAAGATATTAGGTTTTGGCTCTGATACCATGTTAAGGTTCCAACATAAAACCTATTGACTCCTAACATGTATTTAAACCATACCAAATTATATGAGGTAGGCGATGTGAGACTTTCATCATTTATAATAACGAAGTTTTGTAAAAGATATTAAAAAGTCAAATAGTTTTAAAAAATTTGTTAATATGTGATGCATTAGATTAAATAAGGGTTTTTCATTTTGGTTATCACATTGGAACAATGGGTTACCAAATTCCTTTAGCCCTTGTTTGCTCCGTTAATAGAAAATGAAAGGGTAGATTTGTGTTGATTGATCGTGTTTGCATTTATTTGAATTGATTTGTGAGGAAATAACAATGAGATCCATCCAATGCATATATTTGTTGAAACAATATTAACTAATAATATTTTTAATAAATTATGTTTATTTTTCAGGTTAATATTATGTGAAGATAATTAATAAGATTAATAATTTATTTATATTATATTTTTTAAAATAATTTTTATACTAATTTTTGTTAAATTATATTTATATTGAATTTTTTTAAAATAAATGAAATATTATAATTATATTATAAAATAATTTATATAATTTAATATTATAAATAATAATATTTATAATAATAAATATATAAATAACAATAATAATATTATATATATATATATATATATATATATATATATATATATATAATCATGTGTCAATAATTATCTTTTTATTATAATTAAATTATATCAGACTCATAAATTTTTTGAAAACCACCTGATCGAATAAATAGATGTGTATAATCGATTATAAAATATAAATAATCGATTATATTAAAAATATATTATTATATTTATTATATAGATATATAAAAAAGTTAATGTTGATAATATATATTTATATTTATATGTGTTTTTATATTTTTTAAATATAATAAAATTAAAATTATATTTAAATGTAAATATATTTTTTATAATGTTATTGATTTTATTTTTTTATTATAAATATTTTTATTATTGTTTAATTTTTTAATTAGTACTTAAAATCATTTTTATACATAATTTTTAATTAACACTTTTTTTAATTTAAATTTTTTAAAATTAATTATTTTTATTAAATTTTAAATAAGAATATTAGTAATTTAATAGATTATTTTATTAATATATTTTTTATTATTCAAATTAATTATATAGTTTTCTATCATTCTTTTTTACTTTCTAGTCTCTTTTAATCCAAAAAATAAATAAATTAAAAAATACTTAAAATTATTTTTATATTTTATATAAAAATATTATATCTCAAAATTTTATGTATAATATAAAGTAATTACTCTAAATTCAATTATATTATATTCTAATTTATACTTATTTTATCTTTTATCAAGATATTCTTATAATTACATACTTTATATTATTATTTTAATTTTTTTTATTTAATCTTATTTTCTACAATCTTTTTATTTATTTCTCTTAATTTTTTTCTCTTACACTCCCTCAAATTCACCCTCCAATCCAAACAGAGCATTAATCATTCTTAAACAATCAAATTTAAAATTTATACACAATAATGTATTTGGAAAAATTTATCATCTTATGACAATCAATCTTGCAAAACAAGATAAATTTTTAATGTATATTGCAAAGCATAATTGCTATAAACATTATTTAAAGTAATCAATTTATTTTTCCCTATTCCCCATCATAACAAAAAATTTATTTATCTTAGACTGTACAAATATAGTATGAGGTAGAGATAAAAGAAATATAGTAAATCTTGTTACTCAAATTTCAATTTAAATAAACGTACTGTTGTACTTATATAACATTAGTAATACTAAATGTTCTTAAGTTAGAAATTAGACAAATCTAACTATAAATTATAGTAAACTCTTCTTTAATTATATTTTTTTCTTTTATAAATCTTCTTAATAAATAATTATTGCATCTGGATTAAATATATATATATATATATATATATATATATATATATATTATTTTTTTTTTTTTTGAAAGCAATGAGGGGGAGATTGATGGAAATGTCCCTACATTCCC